CCAGTAGGTGCTCCGGATATCATTTGTTCTCGTCGCTGACCATCGCCTTTCTTCTGATCAGTTCCCGTTGCATTCGCTTATTTGCCTCGGAGAAGCCTGAAACCGCAAAGTATCCTTCCTCTTCAACCCTAATTTCTGTATCCGCTGCTTCTGTAACATGTTTCCACAGTGGAGGTTTACTACTGCCGTCTGGTCCTTTCGGGAGTTGTCCGTTACTGACTAAAGTCCTCTTGATGTTCTTCTGACTTTCTTTAGAAAATGCACTTATGAAAAGAAGTGATGTGACCTGCTTCTTGTTCAAATGTTCATTATCCACGAGATATTTCAAGATAGTGGTGAATTTTCCCAAGTAAGCCTTGTACTCTTTGTAGTCCTTCAGTCCTCCCTTTCTGGAGTATTCTTCCGCAATTTTGACCAAATCCGCCGTAGTATATAGAATAGTGTTGTCCAATTCCCCCCAACTCTCCTTCATCGCCTTCCTTAACTCCGTCCAATTGAAACTATCGTAACCTTCCATCGCCTCGAGTTCCAACTTCAATTCCTCCTTATGTACAAATCGTCCAATCTGTAACGCCCTTTCGTAGTCCGATGCCTGAAACGCCAAAGCCGCTTGTTTGTATCTTGCTAGAAATCGTGTGAAATTGGTCCCATCGTAAACAAGTCCTGGTTCCTTGATGATCCTTGGTCCATATCTTCTCTCAGTTGGTTCACCATCCGATCCTCTCGCATTATGTAATCCATATCCAGTCACCGGAGGTTCCGTTTGCTTGGCTTGTCTCTGTGGTGTAGGATCCTCTGAATCTGACATCTCTTCTTCAACCTGTTGTTCTCTGTATTGATTGGCTGGCATCTTTCCCTTATCCTTCTTCATTGGTGGTGGCGGTGCCGTAAATCCTGTATTCCAGTTCGAATTCAATCCCGACGCAAATGGTCTATTTCCCAAAGGTGTTGTTGGAGCAAATCCATCTTCCAAATCTGGCACGGTATATGGTAAACTCATGTTGTTCCTGTTGACTTCTTAGTTGTTGTGATGTAATACTATGTTTGGATACTAATCCTACTAAAACTCTGATTTTCAATTCAAAAATGGTCTCTGGTCTCTTTACCAGGGCAAGTTGGGGGTTTTCTCAATAACAATACTAGTAGCTGGGAGTTTTCTTCTAACAGGATACGATTATCCAGATTCTTCGGTGGTCTTCCTTCTTCTGGGATATAATCGTCTGCTTCCTTCGAGTGGGCTCCAACGTTCGCTTCAAACAGGATCCAGTTATCCAAATCCTTCGGTGGTCTTCCTTCTTCTGGGATATAACTAGCTGCTTCCTTTGAGATACGTCTGTCAGAACTAGATTCACAAATCTTCTTCTTCTTCTTTCAGAGGTTTAGTAGTTTTTGCTCGTTTAATAGGTTCTATCACTTGACTATTTGATCTCCAGGTTAACTTGATGTTTCTTCTTTACTTGATGACAGTTGTGGTTGACAAATTTGTTCTTCTCAAAATCCTTCAAGAGTGTTGACTATCCGTGTTGATTCTTCTTCTTGCTGTTCGTCTAGAATTTGATCCTTCTTCAATTATAATGTAATCCTTATCACGTTGTGAGAACTCCTTTGGGAATGGTGGCAGTCCTGTGAGGGGGAAATAGCAGATGAGATATATCACGTATGTAATGATCTACTACAACTGTTACGGCTGGTTTGAAAGACCTGCCCCTCTATTGTACTACACAAGAATTAACACAACAATTTATTTTTTATTGTTGTGGCAAAACTGATGATAGAGAAAACTATGTGTAGCAGTCTCTTATCAAACCTAGATCAACGGGAATTCAGCAGACTATTGGAGTGGAATTGTTGAGTAAGAGGTGTTTTTGTTTATATGTTTATGTATTTTGAAAAATGATTGATGTATGTACTGATAATGAATGATAATTTATGAGATACTACTGAGAAAAAAAATGTGTTTATTTGTCTTTTCCTTCTTCCTTAACCTTGGTTGGGAGCACAATGGTTTAAGATCACTGTCTCTTGTTTTTAAGATCACAAGTTGTACTGGTTGTTTACTTTACTTTTGCTATGCTTCTCAAAGTCTGAATGATCTCAATGGGGCACTTGATTAAGATCACACTGGTTAATGTATGGATTGATTGCTCTGTTCTGTCTGGTTGATGATCAGATGAGATGATCTGTTGTGATGAGATGATCTGATGAGATGAGATGATGAGATGATCTGATATTGGAATGAGGGGGGACCGACCCTCCTTAAATAGTCTATTTT